TCCACTTCCTCAGAACATAAACACAAGAAGAAAAAGAGAAAAAAGGAAAAGAAAAAAAAAGAAAAGAAGAAGAAAAAAAAGAGGAAGCGTAAATCATCCAAATCTAATGAGAAGTCAGAATCTGACTGACAGCAGTCACCTGCTGCACGCTCACTGACCTCTCTTACTTGTGAACTGCAAGGAAAGATCCAAAGAACGAGGAAGAAAACACCAGAAAGGGCTTTGTTAAACTTGGAACATACAGATGTATGCATACAGCAGCCTACACTGGCATCCTCTTCTGCCCCTCTGCAGTCAGAAAGAAGAAAGCAAGCTGTGCTAAACCACACTCAGCCACATCTTTGTGCTGTACAAACCTGTGCTAAGGGTCATCCGTCCTGGTCGAGCTGGGCCTCTGCAGTGCCGCGCGTCACCATCGGCAGGAAGCGGTGACGACCAAGGAGTCACCCACAAATCTGCAGCATTAGCAGACTGCCCACTGCAGTGTCTTTTCTCCATGAAGTTATTTTATTACATACAAAGCCTCACTGTAACAGGACTCCAGTTTGCACCGTGCAGCGCGCTGGGAGTTCACTTACAGTGCTTTTAATAAGCGGGTTGTACTGTATTTTTTTTCTCCGCATACGTGCTGAAGTTCAGTGTACTTATCCTAATATTGGCAGCTAGCTAAATAAAGAGTACTGCTGAAGGGGGAAAAAGTTAATCAAGGGGATTTACTTTAAGACAAAATTGCAGCAAGACTTGATTTGTGTGCGTGTAACAAAACCTCAACATCATCACCATTAACATGCACAGTTCTGAAACATCCTAAGTGTTCTCTAAACTCTAAGAGTGGGAGCCAAGTGTAACGATGTTAGATATTCAACTTTACTGTAAGGAGGTAGTGGTTTTAGTTATTTAAAAAGAGGTGTTTCATGTAAGAAATTAAAAAGATTAATTTCTGCATATACTTCAGTATCAGTTGTTTTGATACAATTTTGGGGGGGGGTCCTTTTAAAAAGGCTTGGGGGAAATAAATTCCAACCTACTTTTTATGTTTACTAAAATGATTTGATGACGTAACATTTTTTGAGTCATCTCACAAAAATATAAATGTGTAAGGCTTTCAAAATGGTTTTCAACTCTATGAATGTAAGCCACAGAGCAGTAGTAAAGAACTTGTAAGCAGGAAGAAGAGAAAGTTTTGTGTACTTTGTACACCTTACATGCTGACCTTGCTTTTCCTTTAAATAACCTTGCAGGCTCAAGTGGGAAGATAGCTATAAACAGCATTACAGTAATCATCCCTCTTTGAAACATTCAAGATACATTGGTACAAAGCTGCACTTTGAGGGACTAGATGGTGGATACTGGCACTCTGCAAAAGGAGAGAGAAAACTAGATTTGCTTTGAAATTTCTATTGAATTACTTCAATTTCTATTAAACTCAGTCTCTGTGCTTACACTGAACAGCCCCCAGCCCAGCTCCAACAAAGTAGAGCAAACATTGCAAACCTTGTGATTTCCTTCAGCAATGAACTCTTCTTCACTTGCTTTCACACTGGTTCCTGCTAGTTTAATTTCATACACCTTCATTCTTGCTCTGGAAGTTATGTGAACAACTCATTCCTCTTTCTTCTCCCTCTATCCTTTTCAGTTTTCTAAATCTCTAATCATATCCCATACATGTAGGTCTTTACTGAAACTCATAACAAGTGGCATTTGAAAATGAAAACCGTTTCAATAGAGTAAGATTTATAGCAGTGCTGGCTAGCAGCCACCACTAGAGTGCAGAGAAGCACGATTTGTGTCATCATTTGGCATTTTAAACAATGCCAAAGCTGTCATTTAAGAGACTCTTAAGTCATTTAGAAATATGTAGACTAGAGATAAATACCAGCACTCCTTTTATATTAATGGAAAATTGTTCTGTGTAGAAGTAAATCCAGAAAGCAGGACAGAATGGTATAGTCTTAAAAGACTGTTTAGCCTCATTTGTTAAATCATAACCATTTAAATGTTTTTGTTCAAACAACTTTTTTTTTACTGACCTTCTTCGCAGACATGTATACTTCCACTTGCAAGTTCTGCTGAAGCTGGAGGGTTAGAAACAGCATAAATGTATAGTTCCATGAATCTAAATAAGTACAAAATGCAGCTAAAACAAACCTCATAGGCAGTATAGCTTCACAGGTCTTCAACTGCCAGCTTTGATTATCTTAATACTCTGAACAATTTTTGTCAGAAAGGTATTTCAGGAAAAATACTGATATCTGTCTTATTTCTTTGGCTGTGAAATTACTTGGGGTTTATAGTCTTGTCGAGTGAGACAGCCAGTGGCAGCAAGTCAGGGAAAGCTGAGGACTCAAACACAGAATTTGGTTTTTCCTTGGTGTGCCTCCAGTTAGCATGCCATGAGTTTTATGGGGTTTGTGTGGGTTTCTTTTTTTTTTTTTTTTTTTTGGCCGTTGACTCCCATCTACACTGTTTGATTTTAATAAAAAGACCTGTAATTATTTTTTTTTCAAAATAAGACAGAACATGGGACATTGTAAAAGGGAAAACTTTGCCATCTAGGTGCCACCATACTGAAAATTAAAAAAACATTATTAAAACTTGGCAAGCCAGCATCGCCCACTGGCTCCTCATCAGTGGTTACACCACACCCACTTTGCAACAGAGGTTTCAGTTAGTTACAAATAGTGATTTAGAAATCCTGAGTCCCAGACAGTAAGTCTGTCCAAAGGAAGATCACAGTACGGCAGCCTCGGAGGCCTCTTAGGTTTGTTGCTGGTGTGCCAAGCAGCAAATAGATTCTTCAGCTGCCCTTCAGCAGATGCTGCAGGAAGCATGTGAAAGCTGCCAAGGCAATGCAGAACTGCGACAGTTACAGGTCCACGATCCTGCCAGCTCTGCAGTGAATCACTGGGCAGTCCAGCTGCAGTGGTAACAAAAGCTGACACGTATGCGCATCTGCAAAATTAAATATCACTGGGGCTAGTTACCTGGCTGAACAGAAAGAGCCTGGGCTTGAATTCACAGCCTTTTAGGATAGAGTTTGTTTGTACTTCACAGCCTTTGTGAAGCGTGGCCATTTTACCCACTGGAACATTAGATAACAGCTGTAAGCCAGTTAAGATGCAATCCACAAATCATCCATGCTGCTGAGTAGCAAAAAAAAAGCTAAGTAGAAAATTTAGATTTAAGGTCACAGGACTAGTACTGTTAGAGTAGAATATACCATATAAATTATCAAAGAATTATTTCTGGAGTACTAGAACATTCATGCATACTACTTTTAACATTGGTGTGGATGCATAGCGTGAATATACTACAAGATATATAAGCAATCAGTTTAAAATAGCATTTGTTTCCAGACAAAGAGCTGTCTAAACACTCCTACTGCTACTCCCTCACAGCTCCTTGGGAGCTAGCATCACCAGGCTCTAAATTGTTTCTTGCATCTGAGCAGAAATCACACTGACTAGTGCAAGGCCTGTAAAGGAATGAGTAGCATGATCTTGGGAGCACCTATCAAGCATTAGCCAGTCCGAGAAGTAAGAGTGCCATCTGATCACGAGGTCATGAATATTTCTTCATCAGATAAGCAGCAAAAGCCACAGTTAAGCCTGTCAGCAGAATTGGGTATTAAAAAGCTCCATGCTTGAGGTAATTCCCTCCCTCATTTTACTCTTTGATGTTCTGGTGCAACAGAGATTTTGTGCAGCAAAAAAAGCCAAATAAGAATTTCTATTCCTTGTTTTCTTGCAGGGCTTGGGGTAGAAAGGAAAAAAACTTTGGCATAAGTGTAGTTTCCTTCTCCTAACAGCTTGGGTTAAAGGCTGCAGTTACAGTAGAGGTTTAACAAGTAAGCAAGTGGTATTAAAAGGAATATAAAAATAAGGATCAGTTGGGTAGGGAAACATCAGTACTCCTCACTGAGGGAAAACAGCATAACCTCAGTTACAGGTCAGACTAGGTAGGCGTGAAACTTGAATGCAGTCACAGGAAATGCTACTTTTATCCCTGTAGTTTACTCTAGGACACAGAATAACAACATGGGAGAGGAGGCAAAAGACAAGTCATGTCTGTACAATCCCTCCACCCTTTATTAAAGAAAAACAGGTGTTTTTTTTTTTTTTTTTTAGTTTCCTTTCCTTTATCATGCACACTATCACTTTATTTGGGAATCATTTGAGACTGGCAGCATCATATTTATTCTTCTCATACGGTGATATTAGCCTTTATAGGCATTGGAAAAAAAAAAATCACACATTTTTGAGCCATCTACCTCATTTAGATCAGTCTATTTCCATTATTCATAAGATAGCTCAGCAGAGACCTAGTTTTATCATCTCAGTTCTCTAAAGAGACTCTGTAGTCAGTTGCCAAGGTCTGTATCAACTGTAATAGAAGCCATCAGGAAGAAGTCAGGAAACAGGGCACACCATCAAAACCTTTTGTTTCACCTTCAAGATCCATCTCCATAAAGGACTCAAAAACTCCGCAGGAAAAGAAGGGGAGGAAGGGGAAGCATCAACTCAGCGCTTTAGTTTTAGTCCTCCATCATGCATTTGAAGAGAGGAAGATCTGAGGAACTGCCTCAAAACTTCAAGTCAGTATGTGGACTTGATACAGCTCTAACTATATTCCTTTACACTTTGACAACCCAGCTGATGGAAGAGGATTTTGTACTTACATCCACATCATATATGAGAGGACATTGACAGGCTTTACGATCCTGCAGAGTTTAAGAGCTGAGCAGCAATAACTGGTGTGCTATAACAGCACCAGTGCATGGATGTGCCCACATTAAACTTTTTTGCTATTGAATACACTAAGTCTCAAAAGTGCAATTCTATGAAATTTATTACTTAAATAGTGGATGTGCTAGTTATAAAAAGGTGACTTTGGTGTTAAATACTTAATTCCATTTTCATAGCATCCTCAGTCTTTACAGTGTTACTTCTTAACCCTTAGGAGTGCAGAGCAACTTACAAAATATACAATAATAATTGAATTTTGGATTATGCAAAACAAACCTTCGATACATTCCCCCCCCTCTTGCCCCAATATTTGCAATTATCTTCTCTTGGAGAGGGACTTTTTTGTTCCACGACCTAAAAGTTAAAAAAAAAAAAAAAAAAAAAAAAAAAAAAAAAAAAAAAAAAAAAAAAAAAAAAAAAAAAAAAAAACAGAAAGAATGAAGTATGCATTCTGCCTCCAAACAAAATGTCAATTTGCTTCTAAAGAAAGATAGACATCAGTGATTGCTTTTTCCTACTGCAGGCACTGGCGGTTGATATTACAGTTATGTACTCTATTTCCCAGCAAGTATAAATGAGTATACAAGAGTAGCACTGGTGTTTAGAATATCCCAATATAATAGATAAGAGTTCCATGTGAAACTCATAGCACATTCTTAGTGTGTTCTTGTAACTATTGTTGAATTCATCCAAGAAACTTGAACTATTTCTGGGACAAATAAGAAGTATTTCGGGATTATGCAAGTTTCCTTGTTTCTTCTACTAAGAACTGATCAGCAATTAAAGGTTAAACAATTTGGCTTCAGGGCTGACATTAATTTTCACTAATAAAACACTTTAGTCTAAGTTTGTTTCCAAACTTGCAAATACAGGGAAGAGCAATCCTCTTCTTAATATTAGAAAGAGCCTATTTTTTACTCATGTTCCCTGATGGAATATTCAAGTTCACTTTACTATGCTAGCTTGTTCTTTTCCAGAAAGAATTCTGATCTTTTAGGTAGCTTCCTGTACTGACCCCTTTCCAATTTATAACCTTTTCAGAGTGTCATACAAGTACAGAAAAGCATAATTATTACTCAACCTACTTAATGTGATTTTCCCTCCAAAGTAGCAAGAAGTTCCTACTCCATAAAGTTCTTAAGAATTATCTACGTGCATTTGTGTTGTATCAAAAATACAGTATTTTGGTTGAGACAGATCTGTAGCTTAAAGAAAAGGATATACTGCAAAGTGACACAGGACCCAGCACTTTAAAAGGATACAACAGTTTGAAGAGTAACTAGACTAAAACAGTAGGTTTTGGTGTGGATTTCCTCCTCCATCCTTACCTTAAACAAAGAGAAGGAACCTAACCTGGTCAAAGCTACACTGGTATTCATAGCAAGTGTTCAAAGTTTAGCTTGTCCTTTTTCCCCCCCCCCCTTTATCTTATCCACATATGTAGCATTTGCTATTATTTCACAAGTTGTCCTTGCAGTTCAAACAGAGAAAATTTAATCCCCAAGACAGTAATGAAAGAATCCTTGTAACAGTTATTTTTGTAGCTTGTCACTGTGTACCAACCTTTGTATATACTGTATTTAGGCATCTCCCACACTTCTACCTCTTCCACATCATGTCTTGTGTCCCTGCGTTTTGAAGGTGGCTTGCCTATTTTTTTCTTCTTTGGTTTAACCAAAGGTGGGCATCCTAAATAGCAAGATACAACTGGTGTTATTTCTTCAACACAGTCACAAGGCAAATTTAACCTTGTCTTTCAACAACTGGCCTGTGACGTCCCCCTTCCTCCCTCCCTTCTCTGTGCCTATTCGCTGATAAAATTGACTCTACATGTGTCAAGCAAGTCTTGTATGTCTACAGTATTGAATCATTGCATAATTCTGGATGCCCTGTATATTGGGTCATAATTTGGGTAGGTGTTAGTATGGCAAAAAAGAACCCAATCAGAGTTGGATAATTCTGCTCTAGTTCACTGTCTTAAGTATTCAAGACTAGTTTATAGATGTCCAAGTGATCCAACTCACCCACTGTCTTTAAAAAACTTAATCCTTCAGACCTGTAAAGTTGTGCACCACAGGTACACTGTTCAAGAAGTCAAATTTAGCATATGGTTTTACTGCTAAAGCAATATATCTGTATCTCTAACCAAACCCCCTTACTTGCAGGATGCTTAAATTCAGGATTATTTTGAAAAAACAAGTTCTAATATAGGCAACATTTTAAAAAGGATGTGATTTTACTAGCACTTCTGAGGCATCCATTGGCATGAACAGCATTCAGAAAACACTGATTCCTGCTTCCTAACACTGTGATAGCTTCTTCAGGCTACACAGGCTGGAAAAGGAGGAGGAGAAAGCAAGGAATAACACATAGACCAAACATCCTCAGTATGGTGGGACCATCTGTGACTTGAGATAGAAGCAACATGCTGAAAGTTAAAGGTAACAAAATTATTTTAGAACTATTATCATACTTTTATGAATTGTTGTAGAGGAGCTAAGAGTGGTGCTGCTAAAGTGAAATGTTTTCAACTTTTATAGAGCAGTCTAGCATAAAAAAAACCCACTACAATACTGAAGTCTGTGGATAGAAAGCCTCCAATGCAAGATGCAAATAATCCCAAACCCCAATATGCTTAAGCAGGAAAGCAATGCAGAGAGGGAACTCTGAGGAATACACTCTAAAGAATAGTCTATTAGGCTGTTGATACAGGAGATCTGATATGTATTATCAGTGAACTAAAGAGAAGCAAGTCAGTCTGTTCTGAAAATAGCTTCACACTTCAGTATTTGATAGACTGATCCTGAGATACTTGAAGGCATGTGACCCAGGAGAGAAGCACTACAGCAAATCCTATAGGTGTTCCTACAGCACTTACACTGAGAAACACCCTTAAAAAAGCACCCAAAGCAGATCTGAGCTCCAAGTAAGTATTAATTGTAAAGAAAAAAAACACACATTCTGCTCCAGGAGTTAATAACAAGGTATTGAAACTATCTAACCTTTTACTTTGCTAGAATAACTGATTTCTCCATGTTTTCCTTAACAAGATCAGTGATTTGCACTCAGTCCTGCTTTAGCAGCATCAGGGCAACTGTTGGCCCGTGCTAGTTTCCCTGATCATCTGCCTATGTAGCTACCACATGACTCCCTATATGTTTTACTCAAATGTAAGATCAAGAGATAAGGACCTACCAGTGCGTATGCATTCAAGGGAAGCCTTATCTGGGTAAAGAATTAATATTACTGTTTATGGAAGTAACAGCTTTACGTAAATAAAGGCTTCACTTGGCCACATCAAAGCATTTGATGCTTTGATTTCCCATAATTCCTTTAAAAAACCCAAAGTACCTATCATGCATTCTTATTCCCCTGTTAGGGTTTGAGAAGGCTGTAAATAGGCCCAAGATGTACTGACTGAGAGGCATTTCATCAATATCAGAGCAACAAGAATTAGTTTTATTATTTTCAAACCTTATCCAAATATCACATGCTTGCTATTTTGTACCATATCCTTTTGAGTGTTCCTTAAGAACAAAAACACATTGAGGAAGTTGTACCTTGGTCTTTGCTCTTGGCTGGAGGTGAGAGTCTGCCATGTATTTGGCCACTAAATTTGGGCTTAGCACCACTTCTAATCCAATACTCTTCAGGCAGTATCCCCAGGTTCTCCCTTAGCAGCCTTCCTAATTAAAAAAAAAAAAAGTTGATTTAAGGTCAGTATTTAGTTTTGCTAATGCTAATACACTGTTTGATCCACAAGCCAGAATGCAAAGCCAGCTACTGGATCTAATTGTAGGAGTCTGTTGAAATAGAAACTTTTCTGAAGGCCACACTGGACAAAAACAAACCACTTTAAGTCTACAGATTTTGTAGAGAGAAAAAGCTTAATAACACTAATCCTGTTATTAAAAGTAAATACCGTGGTTTTCTTTCACAATATAAGACTACACTAAACAGCAGCCACCTACTGAAGTGCCAACATTACTGCTTATTCTCAGTTTAGATTAATCCAATTTCTAACATCTACCTTTGAGTAAATAAGATGTTCTTTTCCAATTTAATAGTTTCACACTGCTTTTTCTGAAAATACAGCAAAACTTTTGTTTCTAAAGAAAAACAACAGCTGTTATATTAAAAAAAAAAAAATTGGTTTGACTCCCCTTCTGCAGAGAAGTTATACAGGGTTTATCCACTGGATTATAATGAACTTCATCCTGTTTAATGTACCTAGCAGGAATCTGTGATAGGAGAGTCAGACTGTTTGTATAAACTTAAATGCAGCGCTTCCAAGACTTTAAGCGCCAGTAAATCTGTAGTTCAAATTACCTTAAGCTTTTCAAATTAATAAATTGCCACTAACGCCAGAAGGTGAAGTATATCAAATCTAACGCAAAGGAGAGTTTCTGCACTATTCTCTGGTGGTTGTGAAGAAGCAGAATTCTTATGCAATAGGTTAGAAAATGCAGCAAACTCCTTCTGCTTGAAAAAAGGATTCTGCAGGACACCTGGCTCTAAACCAAACCTGAAGCTACAACATCCTCTAATCTTCACACTGGTTCAAGCTACAATTTGCAACTGCAATTAGGTGTTTTGTGTATGCTATTAATCAGCACTTCGTCCTCAGCAATTAGCTTACCTCCCAAGAATTTCCGTAACATTCGCTGGTGCTCAAGTCCTTCTCTTCTTGTCATAGGCCTCTTTCTCCCGTAATACCCATAGTCACTATACACAACTTCATCTCGTTCTTTCTCCTTCGGCTTGTACACCACACCAATATTTTCAACAAGCCCACTCCTAGTTTTTATTTTCTCTTGAGCGGGCCAGCTGATTAATTGTGCTGGTACAGCATTTTTAGGTGGTTTCCAAAGCACTCTCGGGCCAACTGGGTAGAAACTTCCTTTATTTGGTGTCAAGATTCCATATGGAGGGGCTTCTTGAAAGAAATACTCGATTTCATCCATGTCATCATCCTCATCCTCCTCATCCTCTCCATCTTCATCCTCCTCTTCACCCTTCACAGAATATTCTTCGGAGTCCTCGACTTCTGACAAAGTTTTAGCTGCTTTTTTGTTGAGAGAATTGATTTCTTTCCTACTAGGAGATCTAGAAAGGGCTCCCAGCTTTCTACCTTTGCTGGAAGCCTCTTTAATCTTAGCAGCTGGAGAACTGACATCTTGACCATTCATCTGCTCCTTTGCTACCACTTCATCTTCACTGAGGGACCCACCATTTTTAATCTTCTCTTTCTCCGAGCTGTCTATACTTTTCTGAGGAGTATACATGCTTTTCTGAAGCACATAGTCAGGGACAAAATAAGACACTGGGGCATTATCACTTGATGACCCTTCCTCTCTAGAGGACATGTCATCAGAAGAAAGACTGATTACACTTTGGCACTTCCTTTGTGGCAAACAAATGTCGTACTTTGTGTCCATACTGTCCAAAGAAGCCAGCCAGCTGCCAGAGGGAACATACTTCTCAATTGATTTGTCACACCAAATACTTTTACCTGTCTGGCTTTCACTGGTTGCTCTGTGGTTTAAATTCAGCTTTTTCTGCTGAAAGCTCAAGTCACTCATTACCTCCATACTAGATGGAAGTAGTCCTGCTTGTTGAATAAAGCTGGGCTCTTCTTGAGAAGTTTTTGAGCCTGCAGATTTTTTAGTGCTAGATTTTTTAGCTATTACCACATCCTGTCTTACCACTGGTCTATCTATGCCAACAGATCTTGCCAGCTCTGTGATTTGCACTGCCATGGTTTCACCTGGGGGGGATTTTGCCTGTTGACTTGTATTTGCCAGCTTTTCTGCATCCAGCTTCACTTCATTGTTTTGGACATCTTTCTCTTGCGCAGTTTCAGCACCCTGTTTTGAGGGGACAACAGCTTCTCTCTCATCTAAGGAAGCTCCTGGCATCATTTGCCCCCCTTCACGAGGGCCATATATCATGCCTTCACACGAGCTAACAGAAAATAAGTCACGTGGCACTATGTTCTCTGGGACTGATTTAGCACTTGCCACATCATACAGCGGGATAGTTTCTTTAAAGGACTTCCACAGCTGAATAGCTGGAGAGCCATTTCCATATTCTATCCTCACTTCTTCCTTCTCAAAGGCATAGCTTCCAGTAGGGAGGTTTCTATACTGTGTAGAGCTGGCAGGGTCCTTGTTATGAAACTCTCTGTCTACCACAATGGAAGATCCAGATGAATCTTGTTTCTCTGAAGTACTTTCAGTCTCTGTACCTATACCAGAAGAAACACAGGCCATATTCCCTGCATCACAACCTTTCGTTTCTGTACGGGTATCTTGGTGCTTTTTTTGCTTGCTTTCAGGCTGTCTAGGATCAGTCTGTGTTTCTTTTGTCTCCATTCTTTTCCCAGGGGTATTATAGTGTCTAAATCTTGTTGCATGATAAAACATAGGGGAAGGTGGGGCAGCATTAAAATAAGGCCTTCTGTTAATTCTTGCATGCATTGGATGCTGTGGAACAAAAAATCCAGGGTACTCATGGAGCGCAACAGAATAAAATGGAAAATATGGATTTCCACTTCGGAAGCCTAGACATTGGTGATGAAGAGAAAAGACAAATATATCTTCTTTCTGAAATAAGTTATCCTAAAAAATATTTTCTTGCATACACAGGGACAACTACACGATCAGACACATAGTTAAATAAAGCATTCCACCTTTCAATGCTTGGAAACAAATCTGCTGCAAAAACCCAGAGAGAGTTCCTTGTTACGGAATAGCTTATCTGGACACCTACTCTTTAACCAGAGCTTGATTTCATTCCTTGGAACACTCACCAATTAGATTTCTGGTTTGTTTTTGTTTTGTTGTTATTTCATAGAATATTGTTATATCATTATCTTTGAAAAAGACAGCTCCAGAGAGAAGTTAACGTAAGTATGGAACTTACAAGATGTACTTAACAGTGCTTCTCACATAATTATTTTTAAAATAATTTTTTTAAGCTTACACATATCCATAGCTATCATGCATGCATGTATGGAACTCATATATACACACACATATTAATTGCTAGGCATATTCTAGAGCTCTGTGTCTGCAGGATGACCATTACTTAATACTTTGCTTTGTTTCCATTCTCCAGAAACAGATGCTTTCCACCACAGAGGCTACATCTTTAAGTAATACTTAATAAGTCAGATTTTTGACAACTAAAGGATTACATTAAATTCTCACTTAAGCTCCCAAGAATCCCATCAACATAGATACATATTTGTTTCCTCTGTTCTAGCAGTAGCTTACTAAGCAAAGCTACCCCAGAGAGCTCTCATTGACCTTACCTGGAGCAGGTACATAATATGGACTGTATCCATGACTGAGGTACCATGGATTTGGATAAGGCTGTTGTGCTGATGGCTGAGCATAAAAAAAGGGTCTTGTGTTGCTTGTAGAATATGATCCACTTTCTGAAGTTGAGGCAGTATTCATTTTTCTTTAAACACTGAAAGGGATAAATGATCGTTATCAATCACTTTAAAAACTGCACAACCTAATGATTTTATGCTCTGTCAGAATTTAGCAGACATTCCTCTCCCACCTCAAAGAAACCAGGTCCTTCCAACAGAAAGCTACTATCTTCCAGACAGAAAATAGAAAACTGACATTACTATCAAGGTCAAATATTTCAGTTGTCCTTTGCTAAGCTAGCTTTTATATGCAGCTTTCAGCATTAGTCTTTCAAGCCAACCTTATAACATGCTTTAAA